TAATACATTTGTTTTATATTTTTTACCTAAAAGACTGTGTTTTGCTAGAAGTGCTTGGGGAATCTGCTCAGAAACAAAAATTGGTGCCTTGCCCTCTCCACTTGGGGGGTGGGGTGGGGTAGGGTAGGGGGACTGAGTAACAAACCTATACTGGTCAGGCTTTTGACTAGGGCAAGATGGTATAGTGCTGGGGTCCTAGGCGGGTGAGCTAGTTGGAGTATCACTATTGTTAGTTGATGAGTGGCTGAGGAGATGCCTTCATGTAATTGCAGCTGGGTGTGTCTCTGCCTGTGTAAATATTTTTCTGAGTGCAGGACCAGGAGCAGGCTGCAGCTTGTCACAACCTCACAATGTGAGAGGCGGCGCAGGTGGGTATGCCAGAGGTACCCCAGTTCCAGGTTGCACCCCAGGGAAGTCCATCACAGCCACCATGCCAGGACAGAAGGCACAGGACCAGCATCGACCCTCGCCCAGGAAGTTCTATGAGGAACTTGAGGCCAGGTTTTGCAGGGGGTTGTGGAAGAATCACAGAGTGAATTTAGGAGCCCCATAGTCTTAATACCAAAACCAGATGGGTGAATGAGGTTTTGCATCAATTTCGGAAAAGTCAACACCATAGCCCACTTCAAGGCCTTCCCCAGACCCTGGGTGGATGAACTATTGGAGAGGCTAGGGAACGCAGAATGTATTTCCACTGTGGACCTGACAAAAGGGTATTGGCAAATCCCCCTTACCAGGACATTCAGGGAGAAAATGGCCTTTTCTGCACCCTATGGCCTGTATCAGTTTGTCACCATGCCATTGGGCTAATGGATCAACTGCTACGACCCCATGACCAGTATGCTGCCACTTACATCCACAGGCGCCAACTTCCCCTTTCCCCTGGGTGCTTGACCCCACCTCTGACCCCAGACCCGCCCCCACTCCACCCCTTCCATGAGGCCCTGCCCCCATTCCAACTCCTTCCCCAAATCCCTGCCCCTGGGGGGTGAGAGGAGCTTGGCTGCCAGTGGGTGCAGAGCACCCACTAATTTTTTCCCATGGGTGCTCCAGCCCCGGAGCACTCACGGAGTCGGCGCCTATGATTACATCGACAATAGTTCTCTACCGCACCAGATGGGGGGACCACCTGCGCCATCTCACCGCAGTTATCCGAACCCTCGAGGATGCGGGATTAACTGGGAATCTGGCCAAATGGCGCTTGGGACAAAGGGAGGCAGTGTACCTTAAGTATACCATGGAGTGGGGCCAGCTACAGCCCCTGGTGGACAAGATACAAGCATTGAGTGACTGCCCAGCCCCCTTGCCCAAGAAACAAATGCAGCAGTTTCTTGGGCTAGTGGACTATTATAGGCACTTTGTGCCAGTCTCTGCTTTGCTAGGGGACCCCCCTGCACACACACAGACCCTCATAAAAGGTACCAAACCATGGACGGAAAGCCCGACTAAGTTGGGGGGCCGGGCCTCTTTCACTCTAATTCTGCAAAGACATTCATCGTACAGACGGATGCCTCCAAAGTTGACCTCAGGGCCGTACTATCCCAGGAGGTGGAGAGCGAGAAACACTCAGTGCTATATCTGAGCAGAAAACTGTTCCCTTGGAGCCCAAGTACTTGACAATTGAGAAGGACGCACTGGTGGTGAAGTGGGCAGTGGAAGCTCTATGATATTATCTGCTAGGGAATCCCTTTCAGCTCATTACAGGCCAGGCTCCTCTCCGATGGTTTAATTCAATGAAAGACACCAACGCCTAGATCGTGTGGTGGTATCTTTCCCTTCAGCCATATGACTTTCAAGAACTCCACTGCCCAGGGAAGGCACACACTAACGCTGATTTCATCTCACGAGCGGAAGGGAACAGGGGGAAAAACAACTGCCAGGTCCTAACCCAAGGGGAAGGGTGTGTGACGGGGTATATCAAAGGCAAAGTAGGGGTTAAAGAGCAGTTCTTGGCCCAAGAGGCAATGCCCCCTCACCCCAGCTGGGCATGCTCCCAGTGGAGGGAGCATTCAAAGAGGAGCAGCAGCTCGGCTTAGTGTGAGCTGACTGAGGAGAGCGGTTGTGTGCAGCAGTCTCTTGCTGGGGAGCCGCCGTGACTCCAAGCCACTAGGGTCAAGCCTCCTAGTTGCACCGCAGGAAGCCAGCTGACCACGGGAACCGAAAGGGACAACTTGCTATTGCCAGCAGAGGAGCTGCTGGAGACGGAGCAGAAGAGACACAAAAGAAAGTCCACATGTCCAACCCTGGGGATGATGCTGGAGTGACCCAGGGAACGCGCTTGGGGGTATTGGGACCTGAACCCTGTGTCAACGTTCCTTCTTTTGAAGGGCCCTGGGTTGGAAACCAGTGGAGTAGGGCAGGCCTGGGATCCCCTAACCTCCCCATGCTTGCCATGACGCAACTCTATCCTGATAGTTCTGCTAGGCAAAGCGGTTCCTTGGACTCTCGCCAGCAGGCATTACACCCCAGAATATCACCATTAGGTGGTACTGCTGGCTCAGGGCTCCCAACCAACCCCAACAAGATTATTCAGCCACTTATACTTACCTCTTTCATTTTATGTCAGTGAAATGGGGGAGGGGGGAAGAGAGGAGAGGATCTTCAGAGATGAAACAAGCTGTTCATTCCTTTCTACCCTAGAAATTACTGTACATCAATTTATATTCTCTGTGCAATTAGAAGGCCTAAAGACTCACTTTTCATTTTAAATGAAAGCCAAAATTCTCCTTCCTGGATCTGAAAAACCACCTGCCTTTAATGAAGGGATCCCACAAGCCCTTGCAGACCCCCTCCTGCTCATCACAACTGCATTGTATAAGTTGTCAAGAGGGAAACAGGAGGTTTGGGCAGGAGAAAACTGGAGGGATGGGCAGTTGGGTGCTTTTTGCAGCTCGGGCAGTAGGAGGTTGGAAATGTGGGGTAAGGAAATAGGCTGGAGGTTTCTATTAAAATGATCCTCATTAAAATAATTTACAATGTTAACATTTTAAATGTTATCTTAAGGCTTTATCATTAACATCCCATTGAGAACAATGGAGACATTCACACCTCTCAGAGCTATTGTTTCTGGTTGTGTGCACATTCCAGAAGACCCCACTGAACTGATTCCCACTGACCATACTTTTAAGGTATTTTTACTCCCATGAAACCTAGAAAGGGGGTGGTTGATATTTTTTTTGTTTGTTTTTCTTGGGCATTTCTCTAATTATGGAGCAAGATCAGGATCTAGTATTTTCAACACATCCTTCCCTGTGATTTATTATGATCTGTGGTTGCCCTTTCATTTTAGAGCAGAACAAAATGAAATATATGAAATAATTTACCAGTTCAGAAAACCAGAAATGTTTTAGTTTATCAGCACAGGATATTCTTGGAGCAGAAAGTGCACTTTACCAACAGATATTAACACAAAATTATATCTTGTCATCAAACCAAGTTTTAAAAGGTGTATTAGTGACACCTACTGGCATGAAAATTTTGTCTTTGCATATTCGCATGTACCAGCTAGAGATATTGATACATTAATGTATGATTGTTCTAATGATAATCCTTGCTGTGTAAAATTTTAACAAAAATTATCAATACTGCAAGCAAATGTTATGGGGAAAAATCTGTACACATTAGCATGGGGCTGAGCAGCAATAATATGGCATTTTGGCATCAGCAGCAGCATAGGAAGTTTTGAAGTGACATTTTAAGTTCTCCTAAGTAGTAAAGCTTGTAGGATACAGGCCCGGATATACCACATCATGCTGAAATATCCTTCTCAAACTGAAAGGTCTTGTAGTAACAGCATATTCAGGTTTACACAATTTCAGAACTACTTCAAAAGTGTGTGGAATAGAACTAAAGAATTCAGAGAGATGTTGATGAATTTGACTGTCATTTAAGAACAAATTTTTTTTAAAAAGGAGAGAAGGCAGGGAAGAGATTCTGGGCCAGATTTTCTGGTGCATCAGGACTGCACTTGTCACAGCAGAGAAGAGGAGGGAGCCATCAGACAGTGATTACAGCTCCCTGATTTCTCTTCCCTGTTACGCCCCAGCTCAAGTGGAGAGCTAAATGCCAGATGGTAACGGTCTCCGAGGGAACATCTGCTAGCTGGGGTTTGCAGGAGTGCTGGGAGTCCCTCTCCTCTTCCCCTGACCTCAGTGGATGACTCATGTGCTTACATACCTTGTTAAACTAGGACCAGTGTGTGTGTGTTTGTCATGTGGCCAGTGTAAGAGGTCCAGTGTTGTTAACTATTCATTGCTTTGCTTTTAAATGCATGGGTTGTGTAAATCATATGATGAGTGACATGAGTGTATTTGCTTAACAACCTTAACAGATTTTTTTTAAACCCATATGTGTGTTTTTGGAATATAATTATATATAACACATTACAATTCCCCACCATATTTTTACAAACTATGATACTCAAGAGAGAAAACATGTAGTCTCCCAATGACATGATTCTCTCACATTCTTTATTTCATAGTGCCAGGGCCAGTTCTTCAAAGGGCCCAAGTTCATAATCTCATTTCTCTTGTATATTAACCAATAATCACAAAAATTATGTGCAAAGTAAGTAATTTTATTGAGTGCAATGAATGTGAGCTCGCAAGCAAGATGACATACTACTACTAATTAGCACAACAAAATAGTAGCAGGATCTCAGAGGAAAAACAGATCTGACTTATCTGGATGTGTATATATAATATAGAGGTAATCATATATCTTTTGAACTTTGTATAACACAAAATAAGTTACCATAGCTCGTTACATGGAAAGATCCACAGTCTTACCAGCAAGGAGTAAAATATTTGCATTGCACCAGTCAGTTGCCCTGCACACCTTTCTCCTGAGTTTGTTTTATTTTGAACATGATTAATTGTAAAAGGGAAGAAGCAGAGGGAACATTTTGCTCTCTGTGAAAAGCTGCTTATTTGCAAGGGAACCAAGCTGGTATAAATCCCAACATTTTACAGCTTGCAGCCCTTGATCCACCGGGAGACATCTCATCCTCCGCAGTACTTTTTCCACGCCACCCTGTATGAGTTAAAAATCATGTTAATTGATTGTGGCAAGTTCATCAATTAGTGCAGAGCCCCCCCCCCCCCCCAAAAAAAGAAAACCCACCTGAAATTTATGTACTTTTAACTTTTCTGCAGAGAGACAAGCTAATATAACAAGTAATTTGCTACTGGCCCAATCCTGGCACAGCGCCTGCCTACTCTGCATGGCTCAACTGGATCCTGGAGCTATGCATGCCTGAATAAATCCCAAGTCTGCCAACACTTCCTAAAAGGTTGCCAGACGGTTATCAAAGGCCCACTTACGAGCTGCTATTCCTGCCACAGAGGATTGGTGTACCAATTGGTGCATCTTCTGTACCATTTGTACCACTGCTCTCTACTGGATGGAATCAAATTTACTCAGTTTTGTGCCAGAAGCTCTATCTTGCTAAATAGAACTAATGCACATTCCCTTTTAGCTCCAGCTGGAGGAGGCTAAGGTGATGTAAGTTCTATCCCCACTGCCACAATGAAATATCAAGTGGCCCTGCTGTGTTGCACAGACATAATCTTGAAGCTCTTGGTAGTTATGGATTTGTTACATTGGTGTTTGAACTGGGATTTGAACTCCTGGGAACCTCAGATGATCAAGAAATACATTTCTCTAAGTAGTCTCCCCCTAAGTTTACACATACAAGTATGTCACTGTTACTAGTTCTTGTAATAGTTTTAAACATACCATGCACTCATGCCATTGGAAGCGCGAACAATTCTCTTTGCATAGTTTACACTCGCTGTAATGTCTGCTGTCAGTAAGGCTAAAAAAGAAATACAGTAGTAAATATAGCGGGAGGAAAAAAATCAACATTTTCCTCTTCATTTTTTTGAATCAGTCATCTTAAAACTGATAAATAATAATAAAAACTAATTTCTGTATTAATCAATCACATTTATTACTGTGGCATCTAAGGACCAACCAAGAATGGGGCCTGGGGTATTAGGCCCTGTGCAAGCACAGAGTAGCAGATAGTCCTTGTTTTGAAGAGCTTACAATATAATAGAGAGACAGATGCACCGTGGGAGAAAGGGATGTAACACACAAACAGAGTGAACAATGTGATGGTGTCAAGCAGATTACTTTGCACCTACCACAACACTGGATTCCACATGCGTTCTTGGCTCTTGGAGTCTTGCCATCATTGCACCACCAGCGGCTGTTGATTTGAAAAATCCCATAGTCAGTGCTTCTGGAAGGTTAGCTATAATGCGTGGCACCTGTGTTAAAGTCGCTCTCGTATCTTGCTGTGCACACCCTTGTGAAGGTTCCGTTTTAAAAAAATAACCACACACAGATTGATGTATTTTCTCTGCTGATAAAAACTCCTCATAGCTTGATATTTTACAGAAATATGGATCTAAACACCCCTTATCACCTGTTTGTAGATTATGCAAATGATTTAATACAAAGTACACACAGCCAGCTTTTCTTCCTTTTATTCTCATGAGAGTCACAATCCTTATTAACTATGAAGTGTAAGAAAAACCATTCTATATATAAAACTTTTGATTGTCATCTGAACACTGCATGGGGCCTACATCTTTGAAGGAAACACGAGTGTTTTGGGGTAAAATGCTACAGAGATAGAAACACCTGTCTAAAGAAAATATTATTAACATGCAAACCAAAACCAATAAATATTACTAAGAAAAGACATGGGGAAACATCAACATTTCTCTGGCAGGGAATGGCTCTGCGTGTAAAATGCATAAAACTCATAAAATGCAGTTAAGTGAGATGGAACATTTCTTTCCTGCTGTTTCCAACAGGGGGAGGATCAATGGTGAAAGACCTACTGTAAAGAGGGCTCCAGGTAGCCATTGGCATTTTAATACTGCCTTGTCCATTCCTGTTGAAAATAGGTCTAAACCACGGCACCTGCTGAAGTTTTATCTATGCTAGTGCCGTCACCTTTGTTTCCATAGATGGCGCTGCATAAGTATTAGCAATGATGGTAAACTTTAACCAGAGCACCCTTATTCTTTCCTCATTTACAGCAAGTGGATCTGAACTAGTCAGGTTAGAAGGAAGGAGTCTTTGATTTGAGATATTCAGGGCTGCATAAACATCATGTGTGTTTAACTCTCTGGATTGTGGCTCAGAACACAGGTAAACAAACCTTAAAAACAAACTGGTTGAATAATAATTTCCTATCACTGCTAACAAATTAAGAAAGGCCCTCACCCTTCTCTCTCCCGTGGGGCCCATTCGTCTTATGTGCTCTTCTATGAGTCCTGATTCCCCCTCTCTTCCTCACTTCTAAACTGCCCCATCCCTTACTCTCCATCCAGGCTCTCCAAGGATCCCTCTCCCTCAGCCCATCGTCTCGAATTTAATCACACAAGTTTGAATTGGGGGTTTTGAGATGCTGCTGGTGATCCTCCCACCCAGGCCTTGTGCTGTGCTCTGCATCCCAAGTCCAGCAATGTCTCCCTGCTCAGCTACAGGGAGGCTCAAAGAGCAGAGCGTGAGGGGTGCAGACATCAAACGTGGAATTGTACAAAGGCTATAACTAGGAATAATGCGATGGAATTGGGGGAAAGGTCTCTCAGACTGGTGTCAGGAAAAGGTTCCTGACAGTGCAATCTGTTTAACTGTGGGAGGGTTTCAGGGAAGAAGTAGTATTCCCATTGCTTGGGACATTTTAAACAAGACTGAGCACCGCTTTAGGCAATACACTGCAGGGAACCAGCCTGTGCCGAGAAGGACAGACTAGATAACCTAGGAGGTTTTTCCATCTCTAATGTCTAGGATTAATTCAATGGGTAAATCACCTGCCCACCCTCTGAATCACATGGACATCTCCTCCAAGGCAGCAGACTTACAGTGTCCCAGGCTGTAGCCCCAGTATCCATCCAGCCTAAGCCTTTTAATTGCTCTTGCCAGCTCACACCTTTCGTAGATCTTCCCATGAGCAGCCACGGGCAGGAGGAAAAGCCCCAGGATAGGCAAAACCTTCATGCTGGCAGCGTAGCAAACCCAGGCTCCTACCACTGAGACTAAAAGGAAAGAGAGACACTGGTGAGACTGTAATCTCCTCTCCTCCACTTCAAGTCTCCACTTCCTGAGCGTAGTGGAAACAGGCCACGAGCAGCCTGGACATTTCTCAGTACTCTTGGGGTCACTGCCCAGAGGTTAAAATCGCTTAGCCATGGGGAACTGGCTAGCTCACTCACCTGGTGTTTTATTGCTAGATCCCTGCTACAATTCTGACTCAGGACATACAGGCCAAATGTGGTTACCATCTGATGGCTGCTACAGCGGCTTATAAAGAGCTAATGATCTGAGACCAGTACCTGTTGCACATTCATCCATATCCCGCGCACAAATCCCACCACCATGACTGACCCACTCTTTGCAGTCTTGACAGCAGTAAAGGTTTTAATTAGCATGAGAATTAAACCATGCTCTCACCCTGGAAAGGTGGTTTTTCTACTCCAGGGGCGAAGCTCCTTGTAGCAGTGAGAGCAAGCTTGCAATGTCACAATCTACCTATTTCGTACTTACATGATGTCTGTCACCATGTGGTGTCTAAGGTCTCTCCAAATTATGAAGGGTGCAAAATTCTCTCTCGCTGCTCCATTGTATTTGTTTTGGTGCTGGGACTGTCGGAAGGCTAGTTTGAAGAAGTGAGTTTTGTAGTTAGCCCTGAAGCTTAGCCAGCATCTGTCCTGCGGGACTTATCCACATTGTTGGAGTCACTCTAAGGCAGTGGTCCCCAACGCGGTGCCCGCGGGTGCATCTATGTGCGCCCGCCTACTGACAAGGGAGCGCCCTGGACAAGCAGCCGTCGAGAAGCGGCAACGTCAAGAAGCGCTGCTGACGCTGCTTCTCGGTGGCATTTCGGCGGCTGCTTGTCCGGCGGCCGCGCTCCTCCGCGGCATTTTGGTGGCTAGTCGTCAGGCGCCCGCCACACTGAAAGGTTGGGGACCACTGCTCTAAGGCATTTTATAAAGGAAATGCATAGCTGCTTAACTCTGACTGCCTTCTGTAATTCAGGATTAGTGTATGGAGTTCATGGAAAAACCAATAGGCAAGAGCCAATATAATCTGCATGTTTCTAAAGATCCTGTTACCTTCAAAATGTTTGGTTTCATCAGCTTTGCATGACAAACTACAAATACTTTGATAGCTGGGTTAAAAGGTTCTCTCATAGTTCACTGTGGCATTTGTAAATTCTGCTATGTATTTGGAGCTGCAGTGTGGTCTAGTGGACAGAGGACTGGATTGAGATCCAGGAGATCTACATTCTAGTTCAAACTCCTCCACTGGGCTGCAGGGTGACTTTGGGCAAGTTACTTCACCCCGCCTCAGTTTCCCCATACACAGAAAGGGCATATTTATACTTACCTCTTTTGTGAACTACAGATGACATGCTCTGTATAATTGCTAGGTATTATTATTCTGATCAAGTGCTATTTTGTGACTTACAGTAATAAGTCTCACTAATGACTGGCTTTCTACACCCTAAGGGAATAGTTTATAATATATCATTTTCTCCAGTGGTGGGGGAATACCTTTATTACATGGATGTGTGCTAAATTAGGGCACTAACACCCTTTACACTGATACCAACAGGGCCTGCACATCACATCTAAAATCCCTATAGTACTTTGGAGAGACTGATCTGTAAATTAAAAAAAAATGTGAATGGGAATTTTGTCTGTATAAATACTACAGGCTCAGCCCCTCAGATTTCTGTTTCTGTAACACTGTAGAATGACAATAGCCACTCTGCAGTTAATGTTGTCACTCTATTTCTATTACAAACCTGATTTAGGCCACTCCAGCCTGAATACTCAATCACAGGAATATCAGCTTCAAAACTGATAAAATAGGTCTGAGAGGGAAGATTTTATTTAAAAACCTGAAATGAATTGGACACCATAAAAGCAGAAGTTCAGAAAAAAAATATTATTCGGGGGAGGGTGTATATATATTTGTCACTCTGTAGTAAAAAAATTTGGAGATCACATTTAGGTTACTGAGTACATCATGTACTAGCCTAAAGTCCAGAGCTGAATCTAGTTTGGGCACCTTAACTTTGATGTTCTACACTTTCCAGTGTATGAGTTTCCCTGAATTTCCTGTGTTTATCTATTTCTTTTGGCTAGTGACAAGGTGCTTGTAGGGATTTATTGCACTGGAGTTGCTGATATGTACAGTCACCATTAACTTCACCTCAACAACATTTTTCCCCCTGGAAAAATCCTTCCAAATGAGGGGATTATGGACTGTGACGAGATGTAAAATCCCAACACCTAAAACTAAAACTAAATTCAAATGGACTAGAGCTTCCTTCACTTAGGGTTTGTTCTTTATTATTATGAAAGCAAGGATGGACCAGTGGTTAGGGCGTCCCCATTCTGCCACAGATTTCCCCTGTCATTTAGTCTCTGTGTGCTTTCGTTCCGTACCTCATGGAGGTGGCATGCAGTGTTCACACATTTCGATGATGGGAGCCATTTAATGCCATAGATAGATTGTATGTGGTGTGGGCCTCAGTTTCCACATAACAAATACAGCTAAGATGCTCCAGTCTCAGCCTCCAGGCCTAGATTTGTACCTTACTACACATGCAATTTATAGATGATAGGAAAACAAAACCCACCCCAGAACAGTACTGTATTGTTTTTCGTCTTAAATCAGGAGAATTGTGAAAATACAGGTGGGAAAGTGAACAACGCTATGAAGAAATCCTTCTTGGGAAATCCAAAATTAGTATTTCTGACTCCCTGTAAAAATGTGTGGTTTTCTGTTACTGAAAGAAACACATACATTATCTCATTTCCTCATTCATCTGTCAACAGTTTGATTTTAACAGAGCACTGCAGAAGTTTGCCAAGCTGGGTGTAAAAATATGTCTCTAGTCCCATTTGTGCCAATGTAATATCAGGTCCAATACTGTCTCCAGTACGAATCACAGCTTATTCCTGGGTGGGGAGAGGACAGGATCCTTCAAGCCATTTTTGGACCCACAAGATCTTTCCTTTCACATTTTCCCCTCTACCTACTATTCTAAAGACTTGGGAGTCCTAGGCCCAGATCCTTTAAGGTACTTAGGTGCTTAACTCCTATTGATATCTATGGGGCCTCTCCCCAGAGGCCATCAGCACCAGTGGAGCCAAAGGGATTACTGGTACAAGATGCTTCCCCTTTCCTCAAGTCTCTGTCAGTGGGGACTAAGTGCATGTTCTGCACAGCATTGCTATCCAGTGCTATTCCTTTCCCAAGTTGGCTGAAACGCTGAAGACCAAGGGCTAGACCCTCAGCTGGAACATATCAGTGACTTCAATGGAGCTACACCAATTTACATCTGCTGATGATCTGGCCCAAAGTTGAAGAGTTCTTTTCCATACACTGTATGGCCAGACAGGAGAGCCCTAAACAATGTCATTCAGGAATTCCTAACTTCATGAAGTATGAAAAATGTCAACCATGGCAATTTAGTGAAGATAATACCCCAAATCTGTTGTTTTAAATGTTGATTTGGGGGGGTATTTATAATATGACCTTTGAGTCTTTGTATGTGATAGACATTTATATAGTGTTTTTCTCCAAAAAGCCAAAGCAGCAGACTAGCTATAAAACTGTGTAATCAGAGAACGCTGCATCCATTGTTGAATGCAGCCACCGCTGGCACTGAAAACCTTTAAACACTGTACAGCAGCACAACAGTGAAGAATTCTGTGTCCATTGCGAGTTCTAGCTGAACGTAGATAGCCAGAATGGAATCACCCCCACTGCGATCTGACTGGAGTATAAACCATTACTGCTAACTCTTCCTAGGTCTTCAGAAGTAGGGCCGTGCTTCCAATATTTTAACGATGGGCTCCCTCAAAAGTGTGCCATTCCCTGGGTAAACACCCTCCCCATGCCCCCAAACATAAAAGTTCAATTCTACACCCTTTCCCCCAACAAACAATCCTCATCGACACAAAACTCCACCCCCCCCCCCTTTTCCTGGCAAACCACCTCTTGACTCACTATGGTTTTCCCCACCCGTCATTTCATAGAAGGCTCCTTGAGGTGGTTCCCCTACCTGGCAGCTCTTCCTGACAGAAGTAGCAACGATGCAGGTGGCTGTCCTGTGGCCTCTGATGGCAGCAATTCTGGTAGGTAGGGGTGATGTCCTGCAGCCTGTCCCTTCTGTGTTGATGGTTGGTTGAGAATTGAGTCCCCTTTGTTTCTTAAAGTAGATGGCTCTTCTCTGACATGGGGGGGGGTAGGTGTGGGAGTGGGTCTCCAGTGGTTGATTGGGGTCAGGAAGGGGGTATCTCCTGCCTGGGATGGGAGTCAGATTAGAGAGTGGATGTTCTTTGTGTGGTGATGGAAGCTCCAGGCCCTTCCCATACCAGCTCTTCCTATTCTGAGCTGGGGCTGGGAAGGCAGGCACCAGGGGAGAGGAGAGGGTTTCTAGATTCCCATGCTGGACAGCTGCACTCTACCTCCCACCCTGGTGTACCAGGGAGTGGCCAGCAAGGATTGGGGGAGGTGAGGATTTAGCAAAATGCTGGAGGACGTAGGAGGGGGAATTCCCCTGAGCAGCGCTCACACCAGGCATTTGGGTGTGGCTAGCGCAGGGTAAATAATGGATTTGTTTGTTTTGTTGCTAATTTTGAAAAGTGGAAAAAAGTTGGTTTGGGGTCAGACAGAAAATGAAAACTGCCAGCAAACTGAAAAGTAAAACAGCATTCATTTTTGATCAAACAAAATGTTTTGTTTGATTTCAACCCTTTTAAAATGTTCTTGATTTTTTGAGATAAAATTAAAGGAATTTTTGAAACAAAAAGTCATTGCAAGCCGAAAAATCAAAGTTGCCTTTTGAAAATGAGACATTTGAAGTCTTTGAGATTCTGTTTGTTTGTATTTATTCAAAATGAACAATCTGGTGAAATCCACATGAATTCGCAAAACACTTTGGTGTCACTGAATCAGCATTTTTCCCTGAAAAAAGTTTTGGCCGAAAAATGTCACCCAACTTTAGGTATAGGAGCTTCCTGAGTGAGTATCAATCAATCAGCTGGCTTGCTCCTAGTTTTAAAGGCAGCTAAACATTTTAACAAGCAGTTGTATCATTCTGGAGGAGGACCAGAGAAATAAATGCCCTCCCGGGTCACTGAGTTAGCTTCATTATGAGCACACCAGCCCGGATGATGTAAATATTTTGGGAAGAATTAGTAAGATGACTATTCAGGTACACCCCATCCATCCACCCACTTATACTTTATTTATTCTTTTACGTCAGTAAAATGTGTGTATGGGGGGTAGGAGAGGATCTTCAGAGATGAACCAAGCTGTTTATTCCTTTCTACCCTAGCAGTTACTGTACATCAATTTATAGTGTCCAGGTTATCTGTGCAATAAGAAGGCCTAAAGACTCACTTTTTATTTTAAACAAAAGCCAAAATTCTCCTTCCTGGACCTGAAAAGCCACCTGCTTTTAACAAAGGGCTCCCACAAGCCCCTGCAGACTCCCTCCTGCTCATCACAACTGCATTGTAGATATTGTCAAGAGGGAAACAGGAGGCTCAGGCAGGAAAGAACTGGAGGGATGGGCAGCTGGGTGCTTTTTGCAGCTCGGGCAGTAGCAGGTTGGAAACGTGGAGTAAGGAAATAGGCTGGATGTTTCTATTAAATGGTGGCAGATGACAGAACAAGGAGCAATGGTCTCAAGTTGCAGTGGGGGAGGTCTTGGTTGGATATTAGGAAACACTATTTCACTAGGAGGGTGGTGAAGCACTGGAATG